CTCTACGAGACAACCGGAAAGAAGGTACAGAGAAAATGAAACGGCACACAACAGACAGACATACCTGCTTATGTATTTTTTTTAACCTGATCCTACTTTATTTGTGGTAACTATTTCGATTTTTATAGTGTTTGTTCTACTTATGTATAGGCTTTTCTATAATCTATAGGTAATTTTTATTTTTATAAGGCCAGTAAGTTCCGTAGACATAAAGGAGCAAATGGTCAAGTTTCGTCTTTTTTCCTTAAATGCCTTAAAAATTAAAAGAGATTTTTTGGTTCTCACAATGACATTGTAACTACATATGTAATGTATAAATATATATATATATATGTACTAGCTCGCTTCGCTTCGGGGTAGAATTGATCAAAATCCTTTTTTAGCGGATGCCTACGTCATAACATCTACCTGCATGCCAAATTTCAGCCCGATCCGTCCAGTGGTTTGGGATGTGCGTTGATAGATCACTATGTCAGTCAGTCACCTTTGAGTTTTATATAATACTAGCTGACTCGGCGAACTTCGTACCGCCCAAAAGTAATAATTTGCAATAAATTAAAATTGTGACTATAATTTGAGATTTAAACTATCCTATCTCTCAAGTTGGATCGAACTGCACATGGTGTGCGAATTTTATTACAATCGGTTCAGTGGTTTAGGAGTCCATTGAGGACAAACATTGTGACACGAGATTTATATATATTAAGATATGTGTATTAATTTTATTATTTAAGGTTTTTAGTTTTAGTTTTATTGTTCTAGTATTTATATTTTACTTATATATAGTGTAATGTAATTAGATAGAGACTTATTTGTTTATAGTTAGTGTATTTTATAGTTTTATGATGTAGATAGAATATATATAAATATGTAATGTACATGGTTTATACTATGTAGATGCACGATATATGATCTACCCATACGGCCGTCAAGACCGTGAGAAAGCCCTCTCAGTAAGAGAGTAACTTATGAAGCGCACTGTAATATACACGCATCTTGATAATAAAATATAATTTCAGTCTTCGATTAATATTAATTTGGACTCTCCATAAAATTAGTTTCTCCTCAAAAACTTTAATAAATAAGAGTACAGACAGACGCCGGAAACCATTCTGTTTTGTACTAGCGATCTGCTTCGGCGATAAATATATATCCTATGTCACTTATCAGTAATAGAGTTCTCGATTGTTGAGAAAGTATTTTTAATTTTTTCGTTACAAACACATAACACACATTTGTGTACACAAGGAACAATACATCAAAGGACTGTAGACCTGAGTAAAGGTTTCAATTTCAAATCGATACCCCCACGCGTTCCCGCGATAAAACGGGTCTTGACAGACAAACAGACGAACCGAAAGACAGACGGAAAACAAAGTGATCCTATAGGAGTTCCGGTTTTTTGAGGTATTTAACTAAAACAAATAAAAATTATAACTATTTATTGCAATTTCTTCATTCAAATGTTTAATTGTTTCAATTGTTTTAATACTTGTAATGGTTTTAATTTGATATTGTGGGGTACCTACAATACGGAGAAATGGCGCTGCTTTGCAGTTTAAGAAATGCTAGTAAGAATTCAACACAGCCATTGGGGCCTCGGTAGCATAATGGTCAGTGCATTCGCACGGATAGCGAAGGGTGCATATTCGATTCCTGTCCGCTGCATGATCCGCGTGGATTTTTTCTAGTAACATTTTCTTTCAGTTAATTTTAAAGCCAATAATTTTTTTACTAATACAAACTGTCGTCCCCTAATTTATTCTTGTCAAGTTTACTTTTCGCGACAAGAAGCAGCATACTATACTCGTATGTTCTTATCCAAGTTCCACTGTATCAGTATAACAAAAATCGTCAAAAAAAAATTGTGTGTGTCAGCTCCGACGCACGACTGGAGTTTACTCCTTAAGTTCGATAGTCTAACCAGACGCAAAAAGAGTTTATTTAACTTAAAATACCGCATCAATGGTTGTACCATACCTCGTTGTCGCCATTGCTCTATCAGAAACAATATCTAAATTCAGTTCAGATTTAAAAAAAAATATTAATGTCAATCCGTTATCTTTGTTTGTCAAAGTTGCGCGACATAGGATGCGCACCAAAAACGTAACGAGGTCATTCATCGATAGATTTTGCTCCTCACATTTTTCTCATACCGGGCCCCTTATATATGCAAATCGATTCTTAAAAGGAGTAAACTCCAATAAATTCAACGGGATAGAAATAAAAACGTGAACAACTGACAAACATTACAATATTAGGATTTTTTGATTACTAACTGGGATTTATGTTATAACTGTGGAATTCAGCTTTTCAAACAAATTCTGATGATGTTTGTATTGCATATATATATTATCACTAATGAATGATAAGTATCAAAATTCTTTTAATGATATAGTTATCAAACTATAATTAAATTCGACGCAAAAACTACAATGAATAGGAAGTGCTTTATATTTTAAATCGCTCTACGCCCTACTCGATCAAAAATTAGCACTTTAAAGTTCAACATTTCGCAAAAGGGACTCCTAAATCGCAAAATAGTCTCAGAAACTCCTAAGTAATTTTTAAAGGACCTATTCAACGATACCCCACACGATGGGGTAAACGACGAAGAAATAAAATCACCTCCAAGTTACATCGTCACTTCCATAGTAAAGTGACAAAGGAGAATGGGCAAAATGGGCTAAGGTGCGGCCACTTCAAAAAGTGATTAAAATTGATAGAAAACAGAATTACGATTAAAAGTTGTTATGGACTCGGACACCTACCTATCTCGTATAGTTTTCGAAATAAACTAAATAGTGTATCTACACTAATATCACAAAGAGGAAAGATTTGTTTTTTTGTTTGTAACAGATTTATCTGTTCTCGAAAGTACTCGAAAAGTACTGGGCCGATTTCAAAAATTCTTTCACCTAAAAAGCTACATTAGTCCTGACCTGAGTAACACAGTCTACTTTTTTGAATTTCATAAAACCTACTACTCCAAAATATCGTATATTAATTTGTAAGTTTACTTTGGGTGTATAAACATAAAATGCAGGTTCAAACAATCAGACATTTGGAACCGTCATTGATAAAATTGTGTAACTTTTCCCTGGTGTTAAGTACCCCATTATGTGCAGTTTTGTATTAAAAAAGCAGATTCGTAAGTTTGCCGTAGATGTGACGACATGTAGGATAGCTAACCCCAAAAAATATTCTTCAAAATTTTAATCTACCATTTTGTCGGCGTGATTGATATACATAACTCCACAAAATTACAGCTCTCTAGTACTTACAGTCTCCAAGCAAAACCGAGGACGGACAGACAGACGGACATGACATGACGAAACTATAAGGGTTCCTTGTCAGGACTACGGAACCCTATAAATAGGTGGATAACATCAATAAAGTCATTCTCAAGTTACTGAGTGATCAAGAAAAATTGAAATTAATTCTTCTTTGAATGGATAATTTTCTCATGATAACAAATAACAAGATGATAAGATCGCTTAAGTATTTTCAAGACAGTTTTGTGTTTATACATAAGTAACTTAACTATATTTAACTTTTTCCGCGGTTTTAATCGGTCATTGTAACATATGCTTATCTCTTTTCCAAATACCAAATGAAAGGAGACGTGCAAAGATCAAAAGTTGGGTTTGAAATAAAGGATAAGAAATTCATCGTTTATATTATTTAAAGTTATTTCTTTTTACATTAAATGTTCAGCTATTCATAGCGTCATGGCAATGCAACGTTTCGATTACGAAATATATATTTTTTCGTACCACTTGCTCAAAAAAGTGACATTCTATGCCACAAAAAGCGAACATAACAACAGTCATTTTTAATCTGTTAAAAACAGGGAAAGAAAATTGTACTGAATTTCATTCACCTCTAGGGGGAGAATGTGATTTAAATTTGGAATACTTACCGAAATTTATACTGAACTACATCTGTGTTTACACCATTGAGTTTGTATATAAAGCATTATACATCTTTTTACGAATACGCATTTATTGTGCAGTTATGATTATTAAATAAAATTACGAAAACCAACGAGGCTGTATTTAATTGGACAAATGTTTCGAATGTTAACTTTTACTTTTAATTGTCATTATTTTTAATAAATGCTTATCTCATATTATTATTGTGTTAATTTTTTCGCAAATGGTACGAAAAGTAGAGTATTTTCCTCGGTGATAAAGCTGTCTTAGTCTTGGGTGAACTAAAATCCCTCGCTACACTCAGGACTCGTCTTAAATCCCTCGCTTCGCTCGTGATTTAAGTTTTTAACACCCTCCCTACGCTCGGGAGTAAACCTCGAGTCCTTCGTTACGCTCGCGATTTAAATCGTCACCCGCGACAGAAGACACTGCTTTATCCCCTTGGTTAATAATCTACTATTTTTACTTCATTTAAATTTTATTTATTGTTGTTGTAGCGACAATAGATATATAACTTCATATTCTGTGAATAATACCACTTCTACTTATTAACGCCCTTATTTAAGATAGCCTTATCTTAAGGGTCCGAAGACTTAGTTCTAATACACATATAAAGATTAGAAATCCGTAGTAGGTATTTTAAAACCCTTTATCAAGGTTTAAAGCAAATTTAATCACTCTACGAATAACAGTGATATTCTTTGACAAACAACAACAAGAAAGACAAGGGATATTGGATTTTTAATATTAATTATAATATTTTCCGAAAGTGTTTCTCTCTGCAAAAAGTTAACGGACCACTGTTCTAAGTTCTACAAAACCTCGAGCCAACACCCACGCACATATAATTTAAATTGGAATTTAAAGTTTTAAGTTTATAACCATCAAATATACAGTTGACACGACGAACTCAATCCGTAGATAATGAACTTCCAATCTGCCAACCTACCACAGCAGCCTTACCATTAAACATTTCCAAAAGTATATTCTCGAAACTATTTATCCAAAAATAGAAAGATAATTGTTTAATGTATAATAATATGTAATAACAATAACACATCTCACCTTATTTTCCCCGATAACTACCGAAAAACAATATCGCTAATCGTAAATCCAAAAGTTGATAAACAACACTATGAAACAATCATCATTGCACACTATTTTCATTAAATATCACTCAAATAAAGAACTTCTTGTGACAGACAATCTTCCAGAGAGACGAGAAGGAAGTAAACATCTATAGAATTAACATGATAAATGTTAAAGTTCGCGATGTCGAAAAATCGTCAGTAATTACGTTTCGACGACAAACGCGACTAGCCGAGCACGATAAAACGCGGCGACTGAATGAATGGGCGAGATAACAGAGCAGAGACCACTCCATATTATCAACTAAGTAGGTGTTTAAAGTCGACAACTAAATACTAGGACATAAACAGACAGGTCGTTGTCAATACAACTCGTGATGCAACTTATAAGTTTTAAGAAAATCTTTGTCTCACAATAGTATATTTAGACTGCTGCAAAAGTTACAGTGACAACGGAGTTAGGTAGTTATAATAATAATAATTTATTTTCCTTTACAATAGCCTTCTTAACAAAATGATCGATTGGAGTCTCCATTTAAGCAAATATTGCCTGGCTCCGTTCTTCCTTAACTAATAATGTGATTTACAAACTCCAGTATGGTTACAGTGAATGAACAAATGAACATGCAAAAAAACAAAAAGAAAGAATGAACTAAAATAAAGTAAAACAAAACAATAAACAGACGATCTACGCTGAAAATAATCTTAGGATCATTAAATCCCATTAATAGGACTTAAAGCTAAGCAAAAGTATTTGCAATTAAGAAAGGTAATGCAGATGTTGTGTGCCATGTGTGCGTGTGTATTTGTGTCTTTATGTGTGTATGTGTGTGTGTGATTAATTTTATACATTGTTTTATGTCATTTATGAAACACGATACAGTAGAGATTCAGTTTCTTCATACGTTCGAGGCTGAATCCATTTAATTAAAGTTACCTGGGTTGCTAAAATGTAGAGTTTTTTCCTGTACTAAATAAGGTTCCCAGAGCTCTCGTCGATAAGGGTGGCACGTGCCGCCTATAATTGGGCACGTGTTTGTAAAATGCAGACGCCACTCACTCTTGAAAATATATTTTGGCATCTCCCCTCCTTCTTCTAATTTTATAAATGTTAAAGTTCGTATGTCTTTTACTCAAACGCGCAAAAACTACTGAATGGATTTGGATGAAAAGTACGCATGTAGTTCACGACCTGGATTGAGACATAGAATGCTATTTATCCCGGAAAATTAAATAAATAAAAATTACCAACACACACAGCAATTAGCCTAGCCCCAAAGTAAGCACTGTAGGCTTGTGTTATGGTATGCTAGGGTAACGGATAGAATACATATACTGTACATATATAAATATATTTATATAGAAATACATATTAAACATATTAAGATGTTATCGAGCGCGGGGCCCTGGGCACTTGCCCAAAGTGCCCACTGGGAAAGAGGGGTCTGATAGGGAGATTGGGCCGTGACCAACCGCGCGGACTCTGTGCGGATTGGTGGGTGCTAACGACTGCAGATGCAGCCGGGACGAGCGGCTTAATGTGCCTTCCGAACTACTCATCTCATCCTTATCATAATCTCATAATGAATGATAACCTTTCAGTGCGACGGTACACATCATCACCACCTTATTGCGTGCAACTCTGCGTTTCCGTATGTAGTGCCTTAATCTTGAACGACCTTTGACTGACTTGGATCATGATATATTTTTCGTACGTTCTTATCGTTTTTTAGAATGTCTTATGTATAATGCGATTCAACTAAGAATAGGACCGACTGTGCGCCATATTTTGACGTCATAGCTGTCAATTCAAACCAAATAGGCAGAGTGAGCAAAAAAATGGTGCTATTTAATAAAACTTATTTACTAAGATTAAGTGATACAAAACCTCAGATTTTTTAATAAAATTAATTTACTAAGGTTGAGAAAGAACACAACCAATTTTTAATAATATTTCTTTATTAAGACTGTGTGAAAAGAACATTAATCAGAATCTAGCTCTTCAATTTCGCTCATCTCTGCATTACCGCCGGAGAAGTAATTAATGATCATGCAGGTCACATACGAACATCATGCATCCTATATGTAAACGAAAGTTTTAAATCGAGTTTCTGAACGCAACATAAAGTGACATATGGTTGACGTTTTCAGTTATTAACCATTCATAGCCAAAGCTCAATAAATGAAAAAAAATCAACTAATATTAATTCTAGAATCAGCTGAATGCTAAAAAAGTGTTCCATGATTTTTTTGCAAACCGTACTTTTCAAGCGACATTTGACAGATGGAGGTCATTGGCTTTCCTATTCTTATTTGAATCGCATTATAATCTATATTTTATCACCATTAATCGAACATTTAAAAACAGATTCGATTACATTACGCTCGAGCAGAGATTGCGAATGAGTGCACAGTTCAGTAAGTGTCTTGTATTAAATCTAATGAAAATATTACTAGAAGAAACTCCACTCGAACCAGGTTTCAGACCGGTTTAGAACCTGCATTTACCACTTGTTTTAAACTTTATTGCCAAACATAAGCAAACGGCGGACTTAATTATCTACCAGCCAACCAGTATGAATGTTGGAGGCAAATGGTAAAATAAATAATATGAAGAAAATAACATAATAACAGCAATAAAAGGATTAATACTTAGTGTCGCCGCACACGGGCCACGGACCACAACCACAAAACGCCGCGCCGCCACCGACATATTTCTTGTAGTTTTCATACATTTTATATGGACTCGCCACACACGGTACGCCGGTGGCCGCCACACGCTACAAATAGTCGTTGCTCGCTTCTTGTGGCTCGCACCGGCCACTTAATGCGCCGATACAAAACGCTACCACACATCACTCGCACGATTCCCCACCCCTCTCTCCCTTAGGCCGTATACAGAAAGAAAGCCGAAAGCCGATCGGCGCCGACACGCGCTGGTCCGAATAATAAATAATTTGTATTTGAATTATTATCCTTAGATTAAATCAATCTAAGTTATAATCTTTTTATAAATCTAATAACTTTATCTTTTATTAACTAAGCGCTAAAAAGGAGATATCCCATGCTCCATACATTGTTTGCCCCACAAGTAAAAGTCTATGCGTCTTGATCAAAATAGCATTGCTGTGTTGGTATTTAATTCTACAACAAGAATAAATATCATTTTGCGCTGTAGATAGCGGGGTTTTCAAGTTATAGTATTTTTTGTGTTACAGAATTTTATCATAATAAAACCATTTATTTAGCATGACATTTTAGTTTTTATGGACAATATACTTCATGAGGAGCCTAATGGCGCAGGTAGATAGCGCATTCGACCTGCGATCGTGGAAGTTAAACAACTTTTGCAATGGTCGGTCATTGGATGGGTGACCAAAAACTTATTATCTCGAGCTCTTCCGTGCTTCGGAAGGCACGTTAAGCCGTTGGCCCCGGCTGTATCTGCAGTCGTTAGCACCCACCAATCCGCACTGGGCCCGCGTGGTGGGTCATGGCCCAATCCCTATTTCATCCACAGGTAAGGTCTGTGCCCCAGCAGTGGGGACATTAATAGGCTGGTGATGATGATGATGATACTTCATAAAACAATTAGATGATTTTCTAAATATAAGATAAGTTTTTGATACATGCTATAATAGGTAGAATGTCCTTCCCTACTATTTAAAAGTAATAAGGTAATGAAATAAAACACTGATTATTATATCATTGAAGTTTTTTATTCCTCATTTAACAAAATGTCATCCAGAAATGCCGCAGGACTTAAACTATCTGGATTATATCTAGCCCATGACAAAAACCATATAACAACCATTACATGGGAACAGCACCCAACAGTCCTACTACCTGACTTACAATTACAGTAATAGCCCGTTATACTATCTTCTGTGTTTCCTAATGAACTGTATGTTATTTAAGTATAATATACCTTACTTGAATGGCGAGAATATGTGACCTCAAATTAAAAATTCATTAATATTTTCCTCCTCAGGCACTTCCAACTGTGAATTTAGTTTGACTACAAACATTCCACCATCTCTGACATGTTCGCCATAATATGAACGGGCCTGTTTAATTTGATAAGTGCCCAATGATATCATTTCTAATTGACTCATAGTTAAACAAGGAAAAGTGGAGAGGTGAGGTAAATGGGCGCTAATATTTCAGAAATTAACTCTTTCTCGATTCAAATTATGCTGTGTAACATACTGTTCCAAATAGTTTGGGACATTTAATTTGCTTAATGCTTTAGCAACAATTTCTCTTGCATTTGTCCTATCCCATAAAAATGGATGAAAATGGTTAATAATGGCCCCAGCTATGTAAAAGTCGACAAAAATAGGCATGATTTGATCAAGTTCTTGTTGTGAGCTTGCTGTGCTTGTTGCTTGCGCCCTATTAGCTCTCCTCCAGCAAGGTCTGCAAACTCTTGTAAATATTGAGAGGTCTGCCTGAAAAACAAAAATATGGGTATGAAATAATAATATTTATTATTGTAGTATTGTAAAATTATATTTATATTATCTCATAATACCTGAATCTGTGGCACCCATGCTTGTATTACAGTGCACTCATGACGATTACTACCCATAGGAATGCTTCTTGCTCGTAGAACGGACACACCACATTCCAAATATACTGATCTGTGTCCATAATTTCGGCAAGGTTCATCCATCTGAGCTTGAATTTGAAGAATAACAAAGCATTCTTCACAGACTCTGTATTCTGATGAAACCTGTAACAAGTGTTTTATGTAATGTTATATTTTTATTTTAACTTTTTAAACACAAAAAAGACATATTAAATAAGTCTTTATCCTCAATCCTATTATTATAGTAAAAACCTACTAATTGTGTAACCACTGTAACTATCTAGAACTATTTATTGGTACTGTCGTAATAGAAATTCATAAAGAAGCGCACAAATATGTATTTCGTAGATTCTAATTAGTGGATAATGGAGTTGGTTGTACAATAACTTAGGACGTCACCTGTATCAAAATACTGTTTATGATTATAAGAATTGTACCACTGTTTTTGTCCCGAATAAAATAAAATAAAACTAAACTTAAGACATCTAAAGAACTTTTCCTAAAATGTGGAATCAACCATTTTATTACATACTAGCTGACCCAGCGAACACTGTTTCGCCATTTTTTTTTTAAATTTTTCTCACCTTTTAAACCTTCCCTGGACTACGACAAACAATACAAAACCAAAATCAGCTAAATCGGCCCAGCCGTTCTCGAGT